ATTCACTGGCTGGCCTGGCAAGCTCCCCCGCTCTGTCCCTGGGCCTGCAAGGTCCCTGGCCTTCCCTGAGCCCCATGCTGCCCATGAGAGCTGTGTTAGCGACACGGTGGCCCCCGGCCAGGAGCAGCTCCCGCTGCATCTTCCTGTCGCCGCCACCAGGCTAAATATAACCTGACACTGCACAGCCCTGGGCTGCTGCTCCGGAGACAGCCTCTCTGCCTGGGGGCGGACAGGCGACTGCAGCCCCAGCCTCCTGCCCTCAGAGTGACTTTGGGCCCATCCGGGGCACAGCTCCTCTTGTTCAGAGCGAGGTGGGGAGGATGGCAGCTTCCCCGAGGTCACCTTCCCTGCAGGGACCCGGCTCCTCACCTCGTTAGAGCTCTGGATGCTTCCACAAGGCCATCTGTCATCTCATCTGGCACCCAGGGCAGGCGTCACTTGTCCCCGCAGTACCCACGGGGAGTCCGAAGCTCAGAGAGGTGGGTGACCTACCCACAGCCACAGCAAACGACAGGGAGGGCAAGAGCCCAGGTTCAACGTCTGGGGGGAGGGGTTCAGAGCCGGGGCTCCTCCACCTGTCCGGCGTGTCCTCTTCCTGTCCGGCCCCATGCACTGAATGTGGGCCCGTTGAATACTTGGCCCGAGGAGGGCCGGTGCCAGCCCGTGCTGTAGTCACGTTGGCCCAAATGCTCACATGCATTTATGTGCTCAGTGGTTTTCATGGGGTGATGAAGAGCTCCCCGTGAAGAAGCCTTGATGACACCAGATTTACAGATGGGTACACAAAGACTCTGAGCTGAGGAACTTGCCCAAGGCCACTCAGAGTCATCTGCGGCCTCCTTCTTCTGCCTGGTACTGCCTGGTACTGCCGTGAGAGATAAGGTCTCTCCCTGCTAAAGCCAAGTGTGGCTCCTGCCTGGGGCCTAGGCCTAGGCCAGTGGTATCCAGAGGTGGGAAATTGGGTTTGGGACGGTGGGTGGAGCCCCTGACCCCTGAGTGGGTTGGGATGCCGGGCAGGACAGTGGTGCCTCCGCCATGGCCCAGGGACTGCTGGGTATGGGTTAGCACCGGATGAAAGCCAGCTAGGCGTTGTGTTCTGACCTTCTCTGGGTCCAGGATGTGCAGTACCTGCTGCACCTGGAATGTGGCCAGGCCTGGATCTGCCCCACCCACCCCTCCCTGCCCCTCCTCAGTGCCCTGCAGTGCCCTGCAGTGAGCTGTGTGGCCTCTGGAGGCCTGCTGGGTGACTGGCTGGCAAAAGGCGTAGGGGTGTAGGAGCCATGGCGTCTGCGCCCGGGCGGTACCCCCCATGGCTGCCTCCCCTTTCCTTGTCTCTGTCCCCAGAGGGGCCCAGGAGGCAGGCCTAGGCAGGCAGGGAGGGCCTCCTCCCCCAAACCAGGTCTTTTCAGCTGGCGCTGGGCCTGGGGCGGGGGAGGGGGTGGGGCGGGCAGGGTGTGTTTGGGGATCAGCTGCACAGGCCAGGCAAGCCCTGGGCCTCTGCCCTCTGCATTCTCAGACCCCTCCACCCTTGTCTGCCTCTCTCTCTGCTCGAGTTATGGGGCCCTCCTTGAGCCAGGCTCTGGGCTTCACATGTATCGTGTCATCTCATTACAGCCCTGTGGGGTGGGCATGCTCCCCTGCCTTGGAGATGAGTGCCCTGGGGCCCAGCAGGCTCAGCGACTGGCCTGAAGTCATTCTAACGCAATGCGCACTGGCCACCTGACTCCACAGCCCATGCCCCCTCCCTTCGAGGCTGGGAATCCCACACCCGGCTGCCCCCGCCAGACTGTCCTGCCACCCCTCCTTCCCCGAGCGCTCCCGGCGCTGGCTGGCTCAGGAGTGTGGGCTGCGCCTGCCACGGAGTGGCTCCGAGCGGAACTGCACCTCGCCTGCTGCGCTGGGCCCTCCCCAGGCCAGCCTCTGCCTGGGGGGCCGTGAGGGAGGGACGGTGGGCGGAGGGTGGGGCTGGGGTCTAGGGGTAGGTGGGACTGGGGCAAGTGTGTGCCTGGGCCAGCCCGATGCTGGCTCTCAATGTGTCTTCTCTGCTGGAAGTCGAGTGGGGTCAGGCCCCAGCTGCCCGCGCAAGCTGCTATTTGCTCTGAGCTCTGCCCAGCTCCGCTGTTGCGGTCCTGCCCCTGGCCTGCTTCCCTGGCCTTCGGGGATCCCCGCTACCTGTCGCCCCAGCCAGTGGTGGGACGAGGTCTGGCTGGCAGGCCTGGCTGAAGAGCTGGGGGTGGGTGACGTGGTGGTTTGTGGAAAAGGTGGCCACCCTGGCAGGGGGTTCAGGGCAGTGCCTAAGAGAGCAGGCCGTGTGGAGCCGTGGCTTTCCTTCCTCCCATGTCTCCACGAAACCAGCTCGACCCCATCCCCAGCCATAAGGCAGGGCTCCAGGTCACATTTTTGGAATGACCAGGCCTTTGACAGGGTTATTTGAAAGGAAAAATTTCTTGAATGTCGACAAAGGGAGAGGCCAAGGGGACTCTGTGTGTGTGTGTGTGTGTGTGTGTGTGTGTGTCTAGACATGGGGACAGGGCCTGTGCTGCCAGGTGGCTTATACCTGGAGTTTCTGCCACCTGGGTGGGGGGTTTTGAGATGCCAGGTTCCGGGGGCAGCAATGTGAGGTGTCAGGGTCCTGGGCTGGGTGGGCTTTAGAATGCAGCTCTGGCCTGTCTTGCTGAGTAGCTTGAACTGAAGTGGGGATGGGGTGCTGAGGGCTCAAACTCAGACCTTCTGGGGCCCTGTGTAGGGGACAGACTTCCCAAGCCATCCTTGGGGTTGAGGTCATCTTGGTTCCGGACTCGACTTCCTGAGATGAGTTTCCTGGTGAGGAATGAGGCTCGAGGGCCTGCATCGCTGGGGGGCCGGGGTGGGTGCTGGGGTCTCTGGGGCTAAGGTTTCCTGTCTCCGGCCTCTCCTGAGTCCCGCGGAGGCCAGGCCCTGCTCAGGCCGCTGCCGGCCATCACCATATTAGGACATAAACTCCAGGCGGGCTGTCTGGGTGCCAGATGGTCTCCAGCTGAGCCCGGCCCCCTGCAGCTCCCAACACCACAGCTGTGTGTCAGAGGCTGGAGGTCAGGGGACAAGAAGGGCTGCTGGAGGGAGACCCAGACAGAGTGCCCAAGCTCAGGGCCCTGGGGCAGAGCGGGAGGGCCTGGGATGCCATGAGCATAAGAGCTGGGCGTGGGGCGGAGAATTCCTGGCCGTCTCCTCTGCCCCACGCCCAGCCCCTCATCTCAGTGCCAGCCTGTTTAAGCTGGTTCCATAGGACCTCAGTTCACAAGGTGAACCCTGCAGCTGCTGGAATGGCTGATCTGCTGTGAATTCCAGGCCCCCTCCCCAGCACATCTGCCCCGGGCCGGGCCAGCCTCTCCCAGGTCAGGCCCTTCCCACCCGCCTGCACCTGCTTGGGGCTGCTCCCCGGCCTGCAGCTCCTCAGGCCTCTCTGGCAGGCAGCAAGTCTCAAGTGCCGCCCCCTCTAGGTGGCCAGCCTCTGCCTGACTCAGATCACCACCGCCATCCCTTGCTGTGGGTCTGGGGGCTGGGGTTGGGGTGCGAGGGTGGACCGTGCAGAGGGAAGGAGACTAGCCCAAGGAGGTTCTGGGAGGTGCGAAGGTGAGGAGGAAGGACGTGTGAGGCTGGGTTGCTAGGGCCCACGTGGGGCCACATGGTTCATCGCCCTGTGCTTGCCTGTCATCCATGACTGCCCCATCACTGACACCGCTGGCCGGCGCTGGCTCCCAGGGCACATTATTCTAGGCAGCAGGTCCTTCAGTGGGGACGTGGACACCGGGAAGCAGAGAGAACAGGTGAGTTGGGGGTGGGAGAAGAGATAAGGAAAGAGTCTCCCCTCCACCTGGGAAGAATGGGAGAAGAGGAACACGCCAGGGTGCCCATGGGGTCATAGGAGGGGGAGCAGGATGTCATTGTACCTTCTTGTTTTATCGAGGAGTTCCAAGAGTCAGGTTTCCTGGACCTTAGGTGGAACTGAGAGATTGACCTAAAGAGGTCTCTTTCAGAAATCAGCGTGGAGAGGGTGTGGGGGTCCATGTGCTGGACAGGGAGCTAGGATGGAATGAGGACGGGCCTGGTGGATGAACTCACCTGGTATAGGGGCTTTGGCGGACAGAGAGAGACAGGGAGGGAAAGGATCGAGGACCAGGAGAAAGACGAGGAGAGATGGAGATGAAAGATCTAGAAGCAGTTCATCTTAGACTCTTTGGTGAAGGATCGGTTTTCTTTAATTCTAATACAGACTGGGACTTTTGTGAAATTCAAGAGCACATAAATTGTATATCGTGGCACTGCCAAATTGCTGTAAAGTTTTCGAAACTCTTGCTCTCAATGTCTGTACTTATCTTGTGGACTGACACAAAGGCTGGTGCTACTCTAGAAAGGACGGAGACAGAGAGACAGACAGCAACAGCCAGCTGCCTATGGTGTGTTGTGTGTGTTGTATATGCCTAAGCACTTACATGTGTCAACTTAGTTCATCTTTACAACTCGTGAGGAAAGGATTGTGATTATTCCCATCTCATAGATGAGGAAAATGAGGCACAGGGATGCTAAATAATTTAAGAAAAATGCATAAATGACTAAACAGAGCTGGGATCTGAACCCAGAGATTCTGGGCTTAAAAGTCCATGGGCTTTAGGAACCACTGCGCTGCTTCTCGTGCGGGAAGAGCAAAGCCACGCTGGGGGATAGGGAAAAGGAGGCGGAAACACGGAGGGAGAAGGGGCGATAAGCCAGTGCGAGGACCTGCACGTGGGAAGGACAGGGAAGGAGAGGCTCGACAAGCCCCAAGCTGGAGGAGAAGGATCCAGGGCAGACCTGCAACGGGCGGGCATAGCTGGATGCGGGGACAGGCAGGAGACCCTGGAGAGGAGGGCAGAGAACAGTTTGTGGGGGCTGTGGCAGGAAGCAAAAGTGAACAGGCCCTTATGGGTTCTGGGGTCCATCCTTCCTGGTGCCACAGTGGCTGTGCCCTCCCCACTCTGCAGGGAGCTGCTTCCTGTGTCTGGTGGACGTGGTGCCCGTGAAGAACGAGGATGGAGCTGTCATCATGTTCATCCTCAACTTCGAGGTGGTGATGGAGAAGGACATGGTGGGGTCCCCGGCTCATGACACCAATCACCGGGGCCCCCCCACCAGCTGGCTGGCCTCAGGTAAGTGCAGCCACACCCTCGGGCTGCCCCAGGGATACCTGGTCTCACTTCCCTGGGGCCTCGAGCTGCCCAAGGTCAATGCTTTGCAGGGAGGGAGGATGTAGTAGTGGGGAGAGTACACCAGGCATGTGGCCTGCTCCCACCAGGAGGGACAGACAGCAGTGGAGTGACAGGCCCAGAGTGTGAGGTCTTTAGGGGCGGCATAGCACCTGTTTTCCTAGCCTCACCTGCTTGGGTCCCCCATAGCATCCCCTGGGAGTGGGCCTCGCTCCGGCCTCCCTTGAGCAGCCCAGAATTCACCCTTCCCAGAGGGCCTGGGCCACCTGGGGGTGGCTCCCTCTGCTCGTTGGAAAGTTCTGTCTCATGGACTCAACTCTCTGTGTTGTTTCTGTCCTCTCGTCCTTGTTCTTGGCCTGGCCAAGTTCCCCGCTGGTCTTAGTTGACTGAGGGCCCAGTCTGAGGGAATGCTCCCCTCCCCCACGTGCTGACGCCAAGCCTCAGACACCACCCCAGGATGGCCTCTTTGGGTTTAATTTTAATTTTTCCCTCAGAGTCATGACAAAAGCTTTCACCTCTTGGTTTCTCAAGCTCTAAAATGACATTAGGCCGGGCGCGGTGGCTCACACCTGTAATCCTAGCGCTCTGGGAGGCCGAGGTGGGCGGATCATTTGAGCTCAGGAGTTCAAGACCAGCCTGAGCAAGAGCAAGACCCCGTCTCTGCTATAAATAGAAAGAAATTAATTGGCCAACTAAATACATATACAAAAAATTAGCCGGGCATGGTGGCGCATGCCTGTAGTCCCAGCTACTCGGGAGGCTGAGGCAGGAGGATCCCTTGAGCCCAGGAGTTTGAGGTTGCTGTGAGCTAGGCTGACGCCATGGCACTCTAGCCCAGGCAACAAGAGTGAGACTCTGTCTCAAAAAATAAAATAAAATAAAATGACAAAGTTACTAACGCTGTCCTCACCTGTCCTACAGATGCCATCCGGCAGGTGGCAGGGTGTGGGAGGAAGCATTAGTCACTCATTCCCCCGCAGGCCCCTCCTGTGTGACCTCCCCCAGGTTACACCAGCCTTTATGCCTAAATTCCCTCCTGCCTAAAATGGGGACAATGGTACCCACCTGCAGGTGTGAGAATCAGGGATGATTTATGTAGAGTCAGTTTGTTGTGATCAGAGTCTTAGATAAGGTTTATTCTAGAATGCTTTTTGAGAATTGAGTTCAAAAAATTGTGCGTGGGTGGGGTGGAGGGGTGCTGGCTGTCAGAGTCCCCAGTTCCCCCTGTTCCTGGCCGGGTGGCTGGGGCTCCCGCTCTTAGGCCTGGCCCCCTCCCTGCTGCCCGGTCCACACGGCCACGCGCCTCCCCTCTCCCGCAGGCCGCGCCAAGACCTTCCGCCTGAAGCTGCCCGCGCTGCTGGCGCTGACGGCCCGGGAGTCGTCGGTGCGGGAGGGCGGTGCAGGCGGCGCGGGCACCCCGGGGGCCGTGGTGGTGGACGTGGACCTGACGCCCGCGGCGCCGAGCAGCCAGTCGCTGGCCCTGGACGAGGTGACGGCCATGGACAACCACGTGGCGGGGCTCGGGCCGGCCGAGGAGCGGCGCGCGCTGGTGGGCCCCGGCTCCCCGCCTGCCAGCGCGCCCGGCCCGCACCCGTCGCCCCGGGCGCACAGCCTCAACCCTGAGGCATCAGGCTCCAGCTGCAGTCTGGCCCGGACGCGCTCCAGAGAGAGCTGCGCCAGCGTGCGCCGGGCCTCGTCAGCGGACGACATCGAGGCCATGCGCGCTGGGGCGCTGCCCCCGCCGCCGCCGCGCCACGCCAGCACCGGTGAGGGGCCCCCAGCGACGGCGGGAACTGGCCCGCCCCAGCCCCAGCCCCAGCCTCCTCCCCGCCCCTCCCGGCCTGCCCCCTGCCAGGCCCTCAGCTTCCGACCTTTCCACCAGCCTGGGTGCCTGGGAGATGGAAATCCCATTAAGTGCTTATTTAATCCCATTAAGTGGCCTTTTACGCTATTAAATGTCCATTCATCCCATTACATTCTCCCACTCCCAGAGCCCTGGCTGGCCCATGGAGCTGGCTGTCCCAGGACGTCCTGGAGCAGGGATGGCTCTGGGGACTGTGAAGGGCACCTGGCACCACCTGGCCCTCTGGCAGGGCCCAATTGTCCTTGCGCAGTCCCTTCTTCCCCCTCGTCTTCTAGGTGTATCGTGGTGTGCTTCCTTAGAGTGGGGAGGGGTCTGGCCTCCCTGGTGTCTCTGTGACCTCCCCAGCCCCTGGTGCCGGCCTCATTGACTCACTGTGCCCTGTGGCTGCAGCCTGTGCAGGGCCTGCCCACCCTTAGGCCCTGGCCTGCTGACCTGACCCCGCCTTGCCTCTCCACCCAGGGGCCATGCACCCCCTGCGTAGCGGCCTGCTTAACTCCACCTCAGACTCGGACCTCGTGCGCTACCGCACCATTAGCAAGATTCCCCAAATCACCCTCAACTTTGTGGACCTCAAGGGCGACCCCTTCCTGGCTTCGCCCACCAGCGACCGGGAAATCATAGCACCCAAGATAAAGGATCGGACCCACAATGTCACCGAGAAGGTCACCCAGGTAGGTGCCCAGTGGGCCTGGCTCTCCCCTCACCTTGGTGGAGCTTGGAGGGGAGGAGGTAGGAGTGGCTGTGGTGCAGAGGTGGGGGGTCGGCCAGCAAAAGCCTCCTGGGGGGGCAGACTACGGGCCAGGGTGGGGAACGGGGACCCTCTGAGAGGTCCCAGAGAGAGGGGGCTGGGAGGTGCCAGGAGCAGGCAGATGCAGAGGACGGGGGGATGAGGGGCATGCCTCCCATAGGGGGAGGACAGGGCGGTTGAAGTAGGGGACATGAGAGGGGGCCAGGCAGCTTCAGGGACATGACTGGTCACAGGGTGTGTGTGAGGGCAGTGCTGCGGGGCAGGCCCACAGGAGGAGGCTTCAAATTAGGAGAGGCCACAGAGGTCAGGCCAGGAGGGTCCTGCTGCTCCTAGGGCAGGTGATGAGCCCACCTGGGCAGCGGGTAGGCACTTGGTACTAGGAGGATGGCTTGGAGATGTCTGAAAGCTAGAGAGTTTCCTTCTCATGTCGGGAGAGTGGAGCAGCGGGGGCACAAAGACATGGAGAGGTCAACACCCTGAATCCTGGGCCGGAGGCCGCTAGCCTCTGGGGCATTGGCCAGCACCATATAGTGGCAGGGCCAGTCTGGTCTTCTGTCCCCTCCTAGGCTTGGAGCTTTCCTGGTGGCAAGATGGTCTGCATGCCTCCACTGCCCAGTCATCCCCCTCCCGCCCGCTCCTTTACATCCTGGCCTTGGGGGTGGGGGTGGGAGTGGCTGGGTCAGGAGTGGCCCATGCAGTGAGTGCAGCCGGGGACTCCTGTCCCCTCCTGCCACTTCCACAGCAGATGCCTGGGCTGGCCCATGTGAGCGCTGCCCCACTCCCCAGGCGGCCTCCTGGCCTTGCTCCCGCCGCCTCCAGCTCTCTGGGCCCTTGCCAGGGCTCCAGCCCATTGGCCTTGACTCCGGAACATTCCCCTCACCCCGGGCCGTTATCTGGCTGCCTCGCTTCTCCCCCTCCTCCCTTGCCTCTCTCTTGGTTCCCACCTGAGCCCCTGGCACTGCCATTCCCCTGCCCGAGCGTGTGCCCTGACGTGCGTGTCCCGGTGGGTTGGTGCGTGTGCGCCTGTATGTGTCCGCATACGCGTGTGTTCCTGCCAGTCACCGGCGGTCTCTCCATCTCTGGGTGTCTCTGTCTGACTCTGGCTGGCTCAGCACTGGACCGGCCGGGCGGGGGTGTCGGGGAGACCATTAATCTGCGGTGACAGGCCGGCTGCCGGGCAGAGGGGGAGGGGCACGGGCTGCGGGAGCGGCGCAGGAGCCCGGGCGGGGAGGGGGCGGGCAGGGCGGGGGAGCCCAGTGTGGCGGGTGGGGGTGGGGACCCGGGAGAAGGAGGGGCCGCTGGAGGAGCTGGCCGCGGCCGCGGCTGCTGGGCAGGCGGGCGGGCAGAGCGCAGTACCCTGGCAGCAGGGCCCGCACCGGGGGCTATGGGTGGCCCAGGCCAGGCAGGCTGCTGCCCACGCTCCCTGCCAGGGTGACCCCAGCCTGGGGTCCAGCCCTAGCCACGCTGGCTTCATGCCAGAGGCTGCCCTGGCTGCCAGTCGGCCAGCCTCTGGGGTGCAGCCAGGGCTGGGACTGCTGCTGGGGTGCAGGTGAGGTTCTGGCTGGGCCCCCAGGCCCCAGGGCAGGCAGGCTGGGGGGAGCCAAGTCCTCCATGGCGGCCCCAGCAGGGAAGGCGAGCGGGACAGGGGCTCTGCGGCCCAGGGCCCAGAAAGGCCGGGTGAGGCGGGCCGTGCGCATCTCCAGCCTCGTGGCCCAGGAGGTAGGTGACCCCTGGCCCCTCCCCTTCCTTTCCGGGGCTGGGGCACCAGGCAGGTAGTTGGCAAGTGGGGGTACAGCCTGGAGGGCTCTGGCTCCAGGCCAGGAAGAACGCTTCTGGGCAGCAAGAGGGTTTGGGGGTCCGTGGGGTCCATTCCCTGCTTGTCCACTCTGGGCTCCTGCCCGCAGTGCTCCCAGGTTAGGATCACAGTGGTCCCCTTGCTGGTGCTTCCCCTGTCCTGGGGCTTCCGCTGCCCACAGCCTTCAAGCTCAGAATGCAAAGGAGGAGAGACAACATGAGTGAGACGGGAGCCCGGAGAGGATGGCAGGGGGGCAGAGGGAGGAGAAGGAGCCAGCGGGCAGGCTGGTGAGAGGGCTGGCGGGCAGCAGCCAGGCCTGGCACAGAGGCCCCGGGCTTCCTCGCTCTATGTGCCGGGGGTGGGCCCTGTGGCAGGCGAGGGAGGCTCCGGCTGCTATCGGGGGTCCAGGAGGCTGGAATCTGCGGGGGTGCCACAGCCACCGTGCAGGTGGTGAGGGCGTGCCGAGCTGGGTGTCTGGCTGTCCTCCTCAGGGGTGGCCTGCGGTGCTGGCTGGGCCGTGCGCTGCTCTGTTACCTCCTGGGAGCCACCTCTGTGCCCCTAGTGGCTCTCCTATCACAGAGCCTGGAGCAGGCTTGGGTGGTGGTGGAGAAGGTGTGGGAGGTGGCTCAGGGGAGAGTCTGAGAATCCCACTCCCGCCCCACTGCCCCGGCACCTCAGCCCTCTCTGTCTTGGCTCTTACGCTCCTCCCAGCCAGGGGACAGGTACAGGTGGGAGTCTTCCTACTTCAGGTGAGCACCCAGGGCTTGGCTTAAATGTACTGTAATCCTAGCTCTTGGGAGGCCGAGGCGGGCGGATTGCTGAAGGTCAGGAGTTCAAAACCAGCCTGAGCAAGAGCGAGACCCCGTCTCTACTATAAATAGAAAGAAATTAATTGGCCAACTTATATATATATAAAAAAAAAAAATTAGCCGGGCATGGTGGCGCATGCCTGTAGTCCCAGCTACCCGGGAGGCTGAGGCAGAAGGATCACTCGAGCCCAGGAGTTTGAGGTTGCTGTGAGCTAGGCTGACGCCACGGCACTCACTCTAGCCTGGGCAACAAAGCGAGACTCTGTCTCAAAAAAAAAAAAAAAAAAAAAAATGTACTGGCTTCAGTATTCTATAGGACAGCAGGTCAGGGGGGGTGCGTCCCTGGCCCAAAGCCATATGGTCAAACCCTGTAACGACACGGTTTGCGTGTCCAGGCTAGTGTTCCAGGCTTGCCCCACGCATGTGTGAGTTTGTGCCCTGGGGTGCTGCCGCCCGGGGTGCTCCAGCACGGCCTCGGGCTCAGGGAGGCGTTGCATCCAGGCGCAGCTACCTTCTTCTGCCCGCTTGTCTGCAGTTCTTTTTCTCAATCTCCACTTGACCGCGGAAAGGCCCCCACCCCGTGAGCGTGTGCTCTCTGCCCTAAGGAGCAGGCTGCTGGGGTTGAAGGCAGAGCAGAAATGGGAACTAGGAGCCTGCTCCGGGCTCCTCCCGGCTGCCCCCCACCCAGTCTGGTACCTCTGGAAGCCCTGCGTGCATCGCAGAGTGGTCACACCCCTAATTATGACCTGTCTTAACTCCTCGTTACTCCTCTAAGGATGTGTTCTCCAAATGTGCCATCTGTGAAGGTGGCTTGAGGATGTCCCAGCTTAAACATGAAGGGGAGTCTTTGCGACCCTGTGCATCATGGTCTTCTCCAAGATGGAAGCTGGGGCCCTGTGGCCCCCGAGCCAGTGCTTCCGGGGGCTGGGCAGGCAGCTCTGGCTTTCAAGGGGGTTGGGTGAGGCCTCGGGTTCGGCTGGCTGCCCGGGGTGGCGGGGGCCAGGCTGGGAGAGTTTGGGGAGGGGGCTCTTGGGTAAGTTGCATGTCCGGGAGAGGATTCTGGGGGAGGGGCACCGAGGGTCAGACGGGGGCTTCTGGGACAGCGTGGGGGAGCTGGCCTGAGCTCTCCCTAGTTAGGCTCGGGAGAAGAGTGCCGTGGCAGCCGTCAGCTGGTCTGGATGGCGGGCCTGCCTCCGGTCTGCTCGTGTGCACCTGCACGGGGCTGTGTGTCTCTCCCGAGCCATCCTTGTGTGCCCTGGGCGCGTCTCCTCTGGGTCGTGCTGTCTTCCGTGTCCCTCTGTAAGAGTGTGGGAGGGGGAGGACAGTGGGCCGCCCCAGGCCTGGGTGGAGGGGGGACTGGGGGAGCAGAGGGTGGGCATGTTTTGATCTCTCCCCACCACCCCCAAGAAGGCCAAGGGGCCTGGGACTGGGTGGCTGGTGTCCTCGGGCCAGTGGCGTGACAGGGACGGGGAGGGAACTGCAGTGACTACCATTGTACGCGAGGCCCCTGCCCGGGCTGGGGGCCTGGACAGAGACCACGGGGCGTGAGAGAGAATGTGTGCCGTCTGGGCTGTGGCACGATCGCTTGGTGCCAGTCACCATCTGTGGGGCTGGGGCTGCGTGGCTGGTGGGGCAGCGCTGGGTGTCACTGCAGAAAGCCCAGCGTCCAGGTCTGCTGGGACCGGCTGGGACTGTCGGGAACCGGCACAGGTCTGTCGGGTCCTGTGCTACGTGGCATTTCGGGAGCTGTACCCCCAGGTCTAGGGGTGGTCGGTTGCTGTGGTCGCTTGGCGGAGGGGAGCACGTCCCGACGGAAACTTTTTTGGCCTCTACCCCGTCACTCTGGTTGGCCGCAGCAGAGATGTTACCTGCTGCTACGCTGCGGTCCCAGGGCCTGCCCTCACCCTCCCCTCCGCCTTCCCTTCCCGCCCAGGTCCTGTCTCTGGGCGCCGACGTGCTGCCCGAGTACAAGCTGCAGGCACCGCGCATCCACCGCTGGACCATCCTGCACTACAGCCCCTTCAAGGCCGTGTGGGACTGGCTCATCCTGCTGCTCGTCATCTACACGGCCGTCTTCACGCCCTACTCGGCCGCCTTCCTGCTGAAGGAGACAGAAGAGGGGCCCCCGGCCCCCGACTGCGGCTACGCCTGCCAGCCGCTGGCCGTGGTGGACCTCATCGTGGACATCATGTTCATCGTGGACATCCTCATCAACTTCCGCACCACCTACGTCAACGCCAACGAGGAGGTGGTCAGCCACCCTGGCCGCATCGCCGTCCACTACTTCAAGGGCTGGTTCCTCATCGACATGGTGGCTGCCATCCCCTTCGACCTGCTCATCTTCGGCTCTGGCTCTGAGGAGGTGGGGATGGCAGGGAGGTGGGGCGAGGGGAGGGGAGAGGAGAGGATGGGAGGGTGGGCAGAGGGAGAGAGCTGGTGGAGGCAGTGGGGTGCAGGGGTGCAGAGAGAGAGGGAGAGGAGAGAGAAGGTGGGGGCAGGGCAGAGGCACGGCAGGTGGCCCAGCAGACCCATGCTCCCCGCCCGCCGCTCTCCATATGAGCTCACGGGGTGTTGGAGGCCAGAAGGTTGCTGCTTTGTCCACTGAAAGGGGCCACCGTTTTCTAAGTCACACGGAAGTGCCCCAGCAGCCAGTGGGAGTTGTGGCCAGTCACCTCAGGGTGCTTGTTGCACCTGTTGGATCCCCTGTTTCCTCATTCTCACCTTGGGGACCAGGACCCCTCGTCCCGAAGCTAGCACAGAGATTCATGAGACACCTGTGCTGGGCCTGGCGTGGGAGGTGCTTCCTGCCAGGTGGCTTCAACTGAGAGGAGGGAGGTTCGGGGAGGAAGTCTGGGGGTTTCACCTCTGATGCCCCCTCCGAGGGCCACAGTGCCCCCACTCCTCCTTCACCCCCACACTGAGCGTGCCCCCTCCCTGCCCCCCAGCTGATCGGGCTGCTGAAGACGGCGCGGCTGCTGCGGCTGGTGCGCGTGGCGCGGAAGCTGGACCGCTACTCGGAGTACGGGGCGGCCGTGCTCTTCCTGCTCATGTGCACGTTCGCGCTCATCGCCCACTGGCTGGCCTGCATCTGGTACGCCATCGGCAACATGGAGCAGCCGCACATGGACTCGCGCATCGGCTGGCTGCACAACCTGGGCGACCAGATCGGCAAGCCGTACAACAGCAGCGGCCTGGGCGGCCCCTCCATCAAGGACAAGTACGTGACCGCCCTCTACTTCACCTTCAGCAGCCTCACCAGCGTGGGCTTCGGCAACGTGTCCCCCAACACCAACTCCGAGAAGATCTTCTCCATCTGCGTCATGCTCATTGGCTGTGAGTGTGCCCGGCGCCGGGCGGTGCGGGGCAGCCCCAGGGGGAGCCGCCTGAGGCTGCTGCAGGGGCCCGAGTGAGGCCTCCCTGGGGCCACTGTGGTGATGCGGCTTGGGGGCTGGGACGCCAGGGCGGGACGTGCCGGAGGGCCGGAGCACGTGTGTACGCGGGCGTCTCTGGGGGGTCGCTGACCTGGTGCAGGGCCCCAGCGGGCTCCCTGTGGGCGGGCGGGGCCTGCGCACCCTGACGGCCCCTCCTCTGTGCCCCCAGCCCTCATGTACGCCAGCATCTTTGGCAACGTGTCGGCCATCATCCAGCGGCTGTACTCGGGCACGGCGCGCTACCACACGCAGATGCTGCGGGTGCGGGAGTTCATCCGCTTCCACCAGATCCCCAACCCGCTGCGCCAGCGCCTGGAGGAGTACTTCCAGCACGCCTGGTCCTACACCAACGGCATCGACATGAATGCGGTGAGGCGGGCGGCCGCAGGCTGGAGCGGGGAGTGGTGGCGGGGACCCTCCTGGTGCAGTGAGCAAGTCTCGGCTGGTCCTGGTTAGAGCTAAAAAGGACCCCGAGGGGCACATTGCTCCCCCTTTGCTCACGAGGAAGCTGAAGCCCGTGGAGCCCCTTCACTGGACAGCTCTCCCTTTAGGGGCAGGCGCTATATATGGGGCCCTCCACACCAGAGGCAGGAATTGATTTCCACACTTTACAAACATAATAAGAACATGGAGGTCTACAGCCCAAGGGTGCCTGGCCAGAGGTGGCAAAGTGGGAGTCTTGCCTGAAACACCAGGCTGCTCTGTGGTAGCCTCCAGGCCTGGAGGATGAGGTTTCCCTGAGATTGAGGAGTGGGGCAGTGGGGCGGCATTGGGGTGGGGTCCCAAGGAAGGCGTGCTGAGCTGGCCCCGCCCACCCCCAGGTGCTGAAGGGCTTCCCTGAGTGCCTGCAGGCTGACATCTGCCTGCACCTGAACCGCTCGCTGCTGCAGCACTGCAAGCCCTTCCGAGGGGCCACCAAGGGCTGCCTGCGGGCGCTGGCCATGAAGTTCAAGACCACACACGCACCACCTGGGGACACGCTGGTGCATGCTGGGGACCTGCTCACCGCTCTCTACTTCATCTCCCGGGGCTCCATCGAGATCCTGCGGGGTGACGTCGTTGTGGCCATCCTGGGTATGGGGTGGGGCGAGGGCACTGGACTGGGAATGCCCGCGGCGGTCTGGAGAGGGCTGAGCCCTCTGAGGACGCCTGTGTTGGGGCTGTGGACCTGGCGCTGCCTGCAGGGTCTTTGGGCTCCTTAATTTGCTCAAGCACAGGCCCTCCGAGATGGGCAGCGGAGAGGAGCCCCACTCGGGGCAGGGCTGCTGAATTTGAGGGTTCCCACATTCTGCTTCCCTTCAGGATCTCCCCACAGACAGACACTTCTTTCTTTCTTAAAGTATCATCAAATCTAGACCCTCCAGGGTGGGCAGTGGGCTGACATGGTGGCTGTGCGTCTGATTTTACTAAGTGCCATGTGGTTCCCCGCAGTCTCATGCAAAATAAGCACGCCTGTCCCCTTGCCATGTCCAAAACAAAGGGTGTCCTGCCCCCTTCCCCTCCAGCCCCTTCCTTTCCACTCCCTGTACACATGGGGAGGTGTGCCCGGGAGCTGGGGCCCCTTGCTCTCTGCCTCTCCTTCCCTGGGCCCTGCACACCTTAGGGCGGATAAGGCGGGATATTCGAGATTGTTATTTCTCAGTTCGGTACAAACACATACGCTCACTCCATAAACACCTCTCCCCCCAGCAACGGAAACCAAAGTTTCACCACACGGCCCTCAGCCTTAGTACATGTACTACCTGGTATTCCGGTATTTTCTGTTTTTTGCTGTGCTAAGCTATGCTATTACACTTTCTTTCAGTAAAAAAAAAAAAAAAATGCTGGACTTGATTCACTACTGTGTTCTGAGCTACAGTGTGAAGGACATGGCTCATGAGGGTGCAGCACTTGGCCAGAAGGGTGTTTGGGATGTGGGGTTTGAGGGTGGAAGTGGAGCTACAACCTGAGCAAGTCAGGGCCGTGGGCAGAGCTGGGGCATCCAGGCTCGTCCTGCTGTCCAGGTCCCCGTTGCTGGTGGCATGGAGACCCGAGGTTCCTGGCGCCTTCTTCCCCAGGCACTGCCAACACCCGTCTTGCCCGCTGGGAGCTGAGGGAGGATGCGCTGGCACATGCTCCCCTGGCCGTGTGGGCTCAGGCCAGCTGGTGGGTGGCCTGGCTGAAGGGGGTGCCTGGAGAAGGTGCCTGCTGCCTCAGTGCCAGCCCCATGGGGCTGAGCCCTCTGTCCTCTCCCTCTTCAGGGAAGAATGACATCTTTGGAGAGCCGCTGAATCTGTACGCGAGGCCCGGCAAGTCCAACGGGGATGTGCGGGCCCTCACCTACTGCGACCTGCACAAGATCCACAGGGACGACCTGCTGGAGGTGCTGGATATGTACCCGGAGTTCTCGGACCACTTCTGGTCCAGCCTCGAGATCACCTTCAACCTGCGAGACGTGAGTGGGCCACCCCGAGCCGGTCCCCATCCCCAGGAAACCTGCCTTCTGTTCTCAAATGTGCAGTTGCCCCTTCACTGTGTGGCCTTGAATGGGAATGCTTCTCGGCCTCAGTTTCCCTGTCTGTCAAGTGGTATCATAGACCAGGCTATGAAAGTCCCAGCCTCAGCCTTTGTCGGGGGCAGAGGTCACACAGTTGGGGTTGGGGGAGCACATTTCTCCCGAGGAGTGCGCAGTCCCACCCTTTCTATGTTGAATCGTGGCGGTGGGCTGAGCTGGGCGGGGCGGGAGAGCGGGGCGGCAGAGCACCGCGCCTCACGCCTCAGGGCGCTCTTGGTTCCAGACCAACATGATCCCGGGCTCCCCTGGCAGCGCGGAGGTGGAGGGCGGCTTCAACCGGCAGCGCAAGCGCAAGCTGTCCTTCCGCAGGCGCACGGACAAGGGTGAGGCGGCGCAGTGGCGGGTCGAGGGGAGGGGGAGGAGAGCGGAGGGCGGGTCCGGTGGTGTCTGCTCCACCCAGGCCTCCAGACATTCCCATGCCTTCCTCCAGTGCGCCCACTCCTCACCCCAGCTGTCCAGAGCCTGCACTCCAGGCCCGCTTGAGTTGCCACCTCGAGTTGCCACCTCCTCCAGGAAGCCCTCTCCCACTCTCCAGGGCAAGGGCATGCCTAGGCTTTTTGGTTTTCTCAGGGCTGTGGTCTCGGTGGGCGCTGCCTTAAACAGATGAGGGGCCGTCGCCAGCGCTTCTGCAGCCAGGGGTCTCACTGAGGGGGGAGCCTAGCAGAGGACACAGCTGGGGACAAGTCCTCCCGGAGGCTCACTCCTGTCCCCTCCCCTCCCCCGCGTCCTCTCCCGCGTCCCTTCGCCTCTCTGAGGCCGGTTCTCTGTTTCCCACAGACACGGAGCAGCCAGGGGAGGTGTCGGCTTTGGGGCCGGGCCGGGCGGGGGCAGGGCCCAGTAGCCGGGGCCGGCCGGGGGGGCCGTGGGGGGACAGCCCGTCCAGCGGCCCCTCCAGCCCCGAGAGCAGTGAGGATGAGGGCCCAGGCCGCAGCTCCAGCCCCCTCCGCCTGGTGCCCTTCTCCAGCCCCAGGCCCCCCGGAGAGCCGCCGGGCGGGGAGCCCCTGACGGAGGACTGCGAGAAGAGCAGCGACACCTGCAACCCGCTGTCAGGTACGGCGGGCGGCCGCGGGGTGCGGGCGGGGGGCGGGTGTCGTGCGCCGCCTCACCCCGACTTTCTGGCTCCAGGCGCCTTCTCCGGAGTGTCCAACATTTTCAGCTTCTGGGGGGACAGTCGCGGCCGCCAGTACCAGGAGCTGCCTCGCTGCCCCGCCCCCGCCCCCAGCCTCCTCAACATCCCCCTTTCCAGCCCGGGCCGGCGGCCGCGGGGCGACGTGGAGAGCAGGCTGGACGCCCTGCAGCGGCAGCTCAACAGGTGCGCGGCGCGGGTGCGGCTCGTGCCCTTCCCGGTGCGGGGAGGGCACAGTGTCTGCTCTGTCCGGGCCTGTCTGTGTGTCCCACAGCTGGTTCCTCTCCTTCCACTCGCAGCTGAGCCCGGGGCTGCCACCCAGAGTGCAGAGGGGGCCTGTGGTGACTGGCTGCCCCTCCTCCGGTGGAGTCAGTCACTGGTGTCCTCACCTCCCTGAGCATCCTCCTCCCTCTCCTGCCCCAGGCTGGAGACCCGGCTGAGTGCGGACATGGCCACCGTGCTGCAGCTGCTACAGAGGCAGATGACGCTGGTCCCACCCGCCTACAGTGCTGTGACCACCCCGGGGCCCTGCCCCGCCTCCTCCTCCCCTCTACTACCCGTCAGCCCCCTCCCTACCCTCACCCTGGACTCGCTTTCTCAGGTAAGTTCCTGAGCCCCCTCCCCCAGGGCACTCCCATCCCTGCTTCTTCTGCCAAGCCTCCACCCAGACCTGCTGTGCTGCCCTTTCTGCCCCCCCTTCCCCCACCCTGCTCCTGCCTCCCCTCTCCCCTGCACTGCTAGAGGAGGCTGCCTCAGGAGCTGGGGGCTCAGGGCAGGGCAGGAGAGCCCCAGTCCAAGCACCACGACAGCTGGGCACAGGGAACCAGCAGGCCAAGTGGCCTGGGCTCCCCTAGTGTCATCTGAAGGGCCAGGTCTAACCATGATGTTCGTGTCATGGCTGTGGGTGGCCTCCAAGGAGAACTGACTAAGCCTGAGTGCCTGGGGAGGTGGCTGTGTGTCAGTGTGTCTAGGGACAGGGTCCCAGGTCCCTGCTGTGACGGACACTGCCCTGGTCTGACTGTCCCGGCCACCTTCACGCAGCACTAGCCACGGAAAGGGTTGTCTTGAAGGCTTCTGGCATTTCCCCAGGTGCCGAGGCCAAGCTCTGAGGGCAGGACCCCCAGAGCCTGCATTTCTGTCCTCGGCTAGAGATGGGCCCTTTGTCCCCTCCTGAGTGGATGTGCGCATTCCTGGTCTCTTCGGGATAGCTGCGTCTGTGCCCCTGCACCAGTTCCTGGGCGGCCCTGAAGGGACTCTCTGGCTGCCAGAGGCAGCCTGGGATCGGCCCCCCCTTCCCCTGGCATTCTCTCCCCTCCCATATGCTGCCTGCTCCTGTTTGCAGACACCAGGGCCCACGTCAGCAAATGTGCCAGTCTTCCTTCACAGCCTGCCCGCACTGCTCTCACCAGCAGGCTCGGCAGCGCCCGCAGCTCCCCCCCCCCCCGCCCCCCGGGCCCCGGCCCTCTCCCTGGCCTTCAGATGCCTGGCTGCCAGCCTGCCTCTGTTTCTAGGTCTCCAAGTTCTCTCTAGATTGTCTTTTTCTGTCCCAGCTTCTGTCCCAGAGCTGGGTTTGGGTTCAGCTGCCACATTCCCTGGGGAAGAGGCCATGGCCTTGAGTGTTCCCTGGGCTGGGGGCAAGGGCCCCCGTGTCAGGGAGAAGCTCCCCAGCTGCTCCCAGCGCCCCTGGCTCGTGCATTCCGAGAGTACATTTCTCTACTGCCCACCTCAGGGCCTCCTCTTGGTGATCCCTGTCCTGCTCTGCCTGCTTTGTCCCCTCCCGACCGCCCTGTGCCCACCTGACCCTCCTCCCCTCCTTCCTGTCCTCCTGTCTGTCCTCTGTCCTTGGGATTCTCCTGCCTCCTGCTCTTCCCCGCCCCCCACGGCCTCCGTGCTTGCTCACGCTCTGTGTTCTTTGCAGGTTTCCCAGTTCATGGCGTGCGAGGAGCTTCCCCCGGGGGCCCCAGAGCTCCCCCAAGACTGCCCCGCTCGACGCCTCTCCCTGCCGGGCCAGCTGGGGGCCCTCACCTCCCAGCCCCTGCACAGACACGGCTCAGACCCTGGCAGTTAGTGGGGCTGCCCAGTGTGGACACGTGGCTCACCCAGGGATCAGGGCACCGCCCGGGCCCTTCCCCTAGGAGGTCCTGCTCAGGAGGCCGTGGCCGTGGAAGGGGAGAGGAAGTCGAAGGAACAGCTCCTCCTCCAGCCCTTGGGACATCTCCTCCTGCAGTCCCCTGGGCCCCAGTGAGGGGGCGGGGGCAGGGCCGGCAGTGGACAGGGGCCTGTGGTCCCCCCACCGCCCGAGGGCATTAGCTGGTCTAACTGCCCGGAGGCACCCGGCCCTGGGCCTTAGGCACCTCAAGGACTTTTCTGCTATTTACTGCTCTTATTGTTAAGGATAATAATTAAGGATCATATGAATAATTAATGAAGATGCTGATGACTATGAATAATAAATAATTATCCTGAGGAGACTCCAGTGTGCTGGGAGCGTGCAGCTGTCACATGTGTCCTGTGTTCACATCTGGACACACATAGGTACTGGCCTCTCCGAGCAGGAGCCCGGGTCTGTCTGTGTGCACAGGGCCTGTGGGCTGCCCGGGATCCGGAGTCTGTGTGCTCAGTGGGGTGCTCCCTGCGGGCTGACGCGGGTCATCTCCAGATGCCTCTGTGCGGCCCTGCATTCGGGGCAACAAAGGTCCACCTGGCCTGCCTGAGTTGGAGGTAGTCCTACCAGTCCTGCCAGCCTTGCTTTGCTGCTGGCACACTGGCCCCCAAACTGGCCCCACCCTGACTGCCAACGCAGCCATACACTTGTGTCCTTGCACACTCATGGGCCCCGCCCTGCACCGACCCCAACCTGGGACTGTAATTGGCCCGAGCCCTGCACCCCCATCTTGGCCTTCTCCTCAGTCTATGCAACTGGGCCCCACCCCACCCCACTCCGGACACGCTGGCTTGCCCAGCCCTGACCAGAGCTCACTTGGTGGCTGGCTGCAGACGGACCTCACTTTGATCACCATGGTCCCCTGTGATCCTTGATCACAAGAGAAGCTGCTTGAAGAGGGTAGAACTTTCAGGGTGACTCATTGCCATTATTGGGGCACTGAGTCAAAGCAGACATTCTGGCGACCATGAGGGATATGTGCACCGGTGTGTTTGTGTGTGCACATGCCTGTTCATCTGTGTATGTGCACGCGTGCTCATCTGTGTATGTATGTGTGTGCACATGTGTGCTCTTATGTGCGTGTGTGTGCATGTACACATGTGTGCACCTGTGCCGCTGGGCTCACGAGGACACGCGGCATTGGGGGAGCGCAGTGCAGTGGCTGCGGCCAGCTGGGGAAGCCGTTGGGCAGGGCAGGTGCTACTCAGGTGGGCCGGCTTGAAGGTGGGGTGCTGCCACAGGCCTCCGGAGCTCTCAGAGCGCTTTCACGACCTCTGACCCTTTGGGGTGGGTTTGTTAACTCTGCTTCAGAGACGAATGTGGCTTTCTCACTGCCCCTGCCTGGGATGGGGTGGGAGTTGGTCTCTGAGCAGCCTAGAGGGTTCTCCTGGTGCCCAGAGCAGGCAGGACACGGGCAGGATCTTCCCAGCCCAGGGCCTGGCTGGCCTGGGAGAGAAGGGGAAGAGACGAGACCCATGGGTCAGAGCGGGAGGGGTGGCACAAGGCGGGCCAGACAGAGAGGGGGGCTTCTTGCATCAGGATCTGTTGCACACGTGTGTACACGTGACTGTGAACGTGCCTCTGCTCCTGGTTTGCAAGTTCAACACAGGCCTTCCTGGCGGGTTGGCGTGTGTGTGAACGTGGGTGGGGGGTCGAGCTGGGGGTGGCTTAGATTCAGTGTGAGCAGGGCGTGGCTCTGCTGGTGGACTCCAGAGATGAAGCCGCACCTCGGGACCTCAGCCTGGGGCAGGACACAGCGCAGGCAGTGGCTGGCGGTGAGAAGGGAAGGTACGTGGGAGGCTCCGTGTGCTTTGTATGCCAAGTCCTTGCTCCCTGGCACTGTTGCCTCCTTGTCACGGTCTGTCCTTGTCCTTAGAGCACTGTCATCCTGGGGTTTCAGTCTGGAGTCCACCACTCAGTGTCCAGGAGCCAGGGCAGCCTGGTAAGTCGGGGGCACAGACAGGGGAGGGAGAAAGAGCCCCTGCTTCTATGAGCCCCCACTGAGGCTTTGGATCAAGATCGTGATGCTGGCAATTTCCTTGGGGCACATGCCAGCACGGCAGCAGCTGCCTGCCACTGGGTGAGGGCACTGCCTGGGCCGTGGAGGACTTTGGTGTGCCCAAGGGATGGCTGTGCATGCGTGTGTGTGTGTGCGTGAGTCTGTGCTTGGGATGGAGACTGGGCAGTGGGGAACCTGTAAATGCTTGTCTTCAATCGAACCACGTGGCTGTCCGAAGGTGTCAATTGTTCAGTCTGGACAGAAGATCGGCCAGTCTAGCTTAGACGCCCTGTGCCAGGTCCCTGCCAGGAGCCACCTGCCGAGGTTGGAGCATGGGTGGGTGGCTCCATTTGCCAGGTGGTCACTACCTGCCAGACTGCAGCTAGGTGCTTTGCTCCAGTGTCCTTGCTTCCTACCATCACAGAGCGGGTAGTATTGGTCCATAGGAGGAGAGTCAGGCTCAGGATGGTTCAGTGACGGGCCGGAGGTTGTACCAGAGGTAGGTGGCAAGCATGACTAACTCCCATGTTCTCCTCCACACCCCTCCTTGGGCCTTCACCGCTCAGCCTCAGGCTGCTCCCTGGCCTCCTCTCTTCACCCAGACTCCCAGAGCCACGGGGCCACTGGTGGTGGGGGCAGTGGCAAGCTATGGTGGTGCAGCCCCCTCTCCTGCAGGCGTGGGCACCCAGCTGTTGGGGACTGTCATCCAGAGCTGGGGATCTCGCAACCACGAGAGCCAGGGGGTAGGGGGGAGGTGGAGGGGGCTGTGGCCAGTGAGGAGCAGGGTCCCGCCGAGGCCTGGAGCACAGCCCCGAGCTGGGGTGTAGCCAGGGCTGGGAGTGGCGACGGAAGGGCGGCACACCCTCTCTTACCTCCACCTCCACCCTCAGAGCTCCAGGAGCCGCGGGCGGCCACCGCCCACCTGTCCAGGTTCACGCTCGCCCCGCACCTGCCCTGACCTGGACTTCCATCCCCGCTCAGCCAGGCGGAGCAGCTCTCACATTTCACTGACAAATAACAGGGATTGCTCTTCACTGAGCACGCTCTTTGCGGCAAGCACCATTCCAGCTGCCGAAACTAAAGCCCGAGGCCTGAGCCACTTGCCCGAGCATCCACTGCTCCTGGGAGTGGAGCCGCTGTGTGAACCCAGGTGGCCTCAATTGCAAGCTGTTGGCTTAACCTTCAGGCACACTGCCCCCCTTGCTATAGGGAGAGTGGCCAGAAGACCTTTGTATGTTTCTGGTGCCCCCTGGGGCTGCAATGCTCTCACTGGGCATCTTGGGGCATGGCCGGACACCTGTGACGGCAACAGCTATGGTCCCACCCTTTCAGGAGCCAGGCCACTAGCTTGGCCTTGCCTCCAGAGGCAGCCCCTGCAGCCCGGCTGTTATTCCCAGGGTCGGTTCTGTCACCTACCTGCCCATGAGCAGATGAACTAGAGCATGCCCAGATCTTGAAGGGACAGATGGCCTTCTCCTCCTTGCCAGGAGGACACAGCCCTCCATGCCAGCTTGGCACAGGGGTTCTCATCTTCCTTTCCGGACTTGCCTGCCCTCAGCCCTCCTCTGCCACGTGCCCTGTGCTCCCGCTCTTTCTCTTGCATCTGCCTAGTCTTCCCCTTTCTGTGATGCAAACTCCCTCCTTCTTGGCCTGGAGAGACACTTCCATCTTCCAAGGACAGGCTCAGACGTCCCCCAATCCTGAAGACTTCTCTAGGCTTCACAGCTGCTGTGGCCCCGTCTAGCACTTGCTCATGCTTTTGTCATCGCCCTTCCCACATGCTGCCTGCACTCTTCTCTGTCCCCTGAAAAGGGAAAAGGCTGAGAGCTTGTCATCTTTGTGTCCTTCCTGCCCTGCATCTAGCACAGCACTCAGCACCTGATGTGGCCACTAGGAAATCCACAGGCCCCAGTGTCTGAGGGTTTTGTGCTGAGCAGAGAAATGTCTCCTGGTCAGAGCTGGCTGGGCTGAGACTTGCTTATGTCTCTGGAGCTTTCTTCCTGGGGGTTTGGCCTCTTGCACTGTGGCTGCCTCCCCCTGCCCACGGTCCCCCGGGGTACAGGTTGCATGCCTTCACTAGCAAGCATAGGTGCAAATGCTTCTCTTGCTTTTTCACTTTAGCACAGCTGAGGTAGGCAGGCATTTTCAGGATGCCTTGATTAAATATGCGAAAGAGAAAAATGGGATAGGCGGTGATGGTAATCTGGGGACTTGGACCAAAAGCCTGGAGACCACCCTTTGACAATGTGAACGTGTGTGTCTTTCTGCGGCGGCCCCGGTCTGCAGGCCCATGGGCTCCGTCCTATTCCCGCGCTCCAAGAGGGCTCCGTGGTGGGGCTGGAGAGGACTGGGCTTGCTCCCAGCTCCCAGGTGGCCTCTGTGTGGAGGGCTCCAGCTCACTGTCCTCTCTGTGGCTGCTCACGTGGCCTTTGGTGGTCAAGCCTGGGAGAGGCTACGCCCAGGGCTTTGCAGCTCCAGCTTCAGGTCTGTGCGACACACGCTTTTCCCCAGGTGGTGGACAGTCTTGCGAGAACCGAGACTGGGCCTTGCCTTTCAGGGCGTGCTCACGCTGTCCTGCAGGGAGAGGTATTCTCCTTGCAGGTGTCCTGCTGGTCTGGCAACACGAGGACCTCAAGAGGACACGTGGTGTGTCAGTCTCCTTCAAGTGCTCAAAAATATTGAAATAGATTTTCAACACAGGACCTTCCAACGTGACTGTTTTGAGGCATTTTTAGCTAATCATATATTATAAAAAGGTGGTTAGTGTGAAAGTTAATGATTTAGTAGAAGATTTCATAGTAATTGTTTACTTAAAGCTGCATATATGCATGGTGTTAAGCCATAAAATTCCATTTATCTTGATCATCTTATTGCAGTAGCATTTTATTTAATTAAAATTTTTTTTTTTTTTTTTAGAGACAGTGTCTCGCTCTGTCATCCAGGCTGGAGTGCAGTGGCAGGATCATAGCTCACTGTAACCTCAAACTCCTGAGCACAAGTGATCCTTCTGTCTCAGCCTCCCAAGTAGCTAGGACAACAGACGTGTACCATCACACTAGCTAATTTTTAAAAAAAATTTTTGTGGTCTCACTAGGTCGTCCAGGCTGGTCTCAAACTCCTAGGCTCAAGCAATCCTCCCCCCTTGGCCTCCCAAAGTGCACCTGGTGGCAGCAGTAGCATTTTAAATGAAGTGATTCTTAATACTTTATGACCTAAAAGTCTAAGTAAGGTTCCAGCTTTTTTGTTGTTGTTGTTGTTAACTTTTGTCTTGAGAAAAGGAATGCATTCTGAAGCGTTCATTTAAATCA